TGCACCATATATGCCTTTTTTGTTTGCTTTATATTCTTTTTAAAAAAAAAAATTGCTGAATTTAGTGGACAAGCTATGACCCATCCATGTGGGTTTAGACAAAGCTTTTAAACAAATAATGTAGGTTTCGCAAATGCTTGTCCTTTTCTTTCCCCTTAACTTTTGTTGTACTCTCACATGGAAAAAGCATATCCATTCATCTTCATCAAACAACAAAAAATTGGAGAATATTATATATTTATATTTGAAGTTTTTGGTAATTGCTTACGTCTTGGCTTAAGGAAGTGGGCGGCAATAAGGTTATGGTGTTGGGGTGAGGCTTGACATAACACATGTTGCTAATGATTTTTCTGTGGATTTATATTACCAAACAGTCTCAAGCTTCATGCACACAAAAGGAATATATATAAGTGAAAATTTGTATGAACGCGAGAAATGCAAAAGTTACGAGGCATGTTAAGGTGATTATTAACATATCTTTCAATGATCTTGTAAGTTAATAAAGTTAGAGTCTTTTATTTGTGTTGAAGTAAAAGACTTCCTTCACCTATATACATGTTTCATGTCATGATGATAATATCTTAACCAATATTCATGATTAACTTTAAATTTAATTAAGAAATCTTTCACTCCAAGAGTATATATGTGAAAATGATTTAACAAACGCAAAGTAATTGATTCCTATCATCCTCAACAAGCGAAGAATAAATTCCTTGATAATTAAACCTTACATTTTTATCGAAATTAATCAAGTGTTCAACATCGTCTCGGTTAACAAAGGCCGGGTTGAATTATACATAACACACACACACACACACACACACACACACACACACACACACACACACACACACACACACACACACAATTACCGGATTCTTGCTTTATGTATGAGAAACAATAAAATTTATGGCTAATACACGCATTTTTTATTTTTCAGAATTAAATAGATCCTTTTAATTTTTAGAATTTACGCAAATTTTTTTCTCTCTCTAAATTTCTTGAATATTGCTCATACTTTATCCTCTATTTCCAAAACTTAATTACAGATTTCTCAGGATACAAAAGTGAATTACAAGATTTTTTTTTCAATTTTATTAAAAGTATGACTCTGCTGTATTTTTCAGACGTTAACATGTAAGATTCTCATAAAAAAATAAAAAAAACCATGTAATTATATTAATTAAATTCATGAGATTTGTAGATGTGATTTAATGAGAAGTGTGCCTAGATTTTAATAACAGAAAGAGAAATCAATATGATTTGATCAAGACTTATTAGTAAGAAGGTCCGTATCATTAGAAATAGCCAAAAAAAAAAATTGCGTGTAATTACAATTATAATAAAATTTAGGAAAAATTTGCGTAATTTACCCCAATATTGTTGATTAATTTTCTGTAGAATTAAAATTATGATGAGCAATTTATTTTATTCTTCAGTTTATCATCTGCCACTCTTTGGTCACAACACTAACGTTTATTCTCTAATCAATTAATTCAAGTCCTTTAAGCAAGGCTATATGATCCTGACCCACTTTATTTATAGGTACTGTTTGAAAAAGGCCGAAACAGTGGCAGATTTTAAGCAACGCCAATTAATTTGAGACACCGTCATTAATGTATTAATTTCCATATGCCACATGCTAAGCACTAATGGATCATGATTTGATGCTTTGTGGAGCCTCCATGTTCCTATTTTTCATTATATTTTCAAGAGTTAGTGCTACTTCATATTGTGACACTTTAAATTAATTACAGGTACACCTATAAGCATCTTTGTTTTTTTTTCCTATTTAATTTCCCAAATAAAGTCCTAATTGGGGAATAATTAATTCATGGCTGTCATGAACTATTTACTGCTTTTATTTTATTTTTTATTTAAACGTTCTATTCTGTCCCTTTTATTTTTTTTAATATAGTATATCAGCATATTCTGTGCTTTAAATCAGATTACTTCTATTTTTTAAATGTCAAGTGGCATTATTTTATTTCTTTCCCACTCCATGATAATATCTATTTATAAAAGATAGAATAATTACTCTTTCTTATATATTTCCAAGTTATATACAAAATATAATTGCTTAAAATATTCATTAATCTACATAATATTCCATGCATGATGCTTTCTTTTCCCTCTCTGTGTCTCTCTTACTTATCTTTGAAGAAAGGAGCTTTGGTGTGAACATGCATATGTTTCGCACCCTTATAAGTATTTTATTTTCACATAAAAAAGGTATATTGTCGAAATCATGCCTAAAAACATGTGTTATTTAATTTATATTTTTTATTAAAAGCATAATAAGCAATATAATCTCATTCAAAGTGTATATACAAATAACAATGTGTTTTCACACATGTATATACATGTCAATGAATATGCCAGGACACTAGCTATTCCTTTCACTTTTAATTATAGGGCAAAGTTAATTAATTTTACAGTTTTAAGGAATGATAATTAATATCTTTAAATTTGTAAAAAAAAAATGTTTGACTTTCCAATTTTACACTTCACTAGAATTAGTGATCACAATAAAATTTAATCTAAGAATTATAACTCGGTACAATAAATGAAGAGCAATATTGAGAAAAAATAATTACCCTTTTTTTAGCCAACAAAAGTAGTAATTACTGTATTTTTGTCTTATATTTAGGACCTAACATCACGTATAATGATACTTAAGGCATAGATTTCTTAACGGAGCTTCTTACTAACTAAATAACCGTTTTAAGGTGGTATTTTCAATGAATAATGAAATGGCTATCATGAACTATATTGCAATGATCGATTGCTTGTCCTTTTCCTTTAGAGCAAAACCATCTATTAGATAGCTTAAGAGGATGCCCACAGAATTTACAGGAAGACAAAAGTAAGTAAATGAATTATTGGTCCATTAATACTACTTGCCGATGAGAAGTGAATGAGAATAAGAAGAAAACAATGTTTTGGAAAGAAAGATATTAAAGTTGCGATCATAAAAGAAGTGTAAAACTACACGCATGCTGGGAATACTAATACTTGTTAATTTTTCTTATTATATCATATCCACTTTTCGTTTTCATGAATCTGTTTTTGGTGTGATAGTAACATTTGTGTTAGTATTAGTGACACGAATTTCATATCAACAAATCATCAACCAAAATGCGATCACGGTTGATCACTTTGTTATTTGCTTCCTAAGCGACATGAGCATTGAACATCAAGCTTTGCTAATGCCAATTGCCTAACATTTAACTCGTTGACAGATACAAGACACCTGTGCTTATATATATATATATATATATATATATTTAGGAGATTTTAAAGTAGTTAAGATTAAAACTTTCAATATGGCCCACTTAAAAGAGCGACTTTAATTTACTATCATCATTACCTTAGAAATTTTGAAATTTCCGGAATCAAAGAAAAAAAAAATCTTAGATTTGATACAAGAGTTTGAAGGGCTAATGTCTATGTCAATAATGTTACACATCGCCATCATGATGTCTGATCAGGGGATGTGTGTGTGTGCCTATATATAATGAATCTGAAACATGTTCTACTTTTTAGGGCTCGCTCAGAGTGGAGAAATGGGTAACTTTATTTTGAAGAGCGGAATGAGAAATAAAGAGGAATAAATGGGCACATGGGTGTGCTGTTAAAAAGTAGTGAGCAAGTTGTGATGAAAATATAAGGAATAAATGTCAACAAAGAATTGTCCAGGAGGAATAGTCCAATCAGTAAATAATTGACTAAAAACTTATAAGATTTGATATGAAGATTTTATTGGCATGCAATCTATAAATATTTTTATAAATATTTTTTGAGCTTAAAGTATGTTCTGACTCCGGTGAAATCTCAGTATTGAACTCGTCCAAGCTTTTGTGTACTAAAAAATAAAAAGAAAGTATTTGGAATGAATGCTTCCATGTGCTTCCACGTCTGATATGCTTTAAAGCCCTGGCATAGCCGCACCCACCTCCAATATCTCCATCCTGTTTTTACTTTACATCAGAAAACAACAAAAAAATAGGTACCATGTATGCATGCATACATACACATGAATGAATCAATGCGTTAGTGTGGCCGGCATAGGTATACATGCAATGCAAGCCATAATAAGCTGAAGTTTCTCATCAGATACACAACCCAATGCTGTAATCTTCTTGTTTAAGAAGCGTTGAAGAGGGAAGAGGAGCGAGGTGAGGGGGTCAAAGCCACATGAGTCATTGGGATGTTAGGTCGGTCATTGTGCTGTGTAATGTGAATTTACTATGTTATGCTGGCGCTTTCGGCGACTTCTAGAATTAACATATATAACACTGCCTGAATTGGAGTTTCATACAAAAGATCATTTAATGCTGTGTCTTCTCACATTTCACACATAAACACACATCGCTCCTATATACTATTTTGATTTGTTTTGACGTTGATGAGATGAGATGAGATGTTGTGAATAGGAGTGGCATTGATGTATTTTGTCCTTGAAAGCAGTACCAAGTTGGAGTTCAACTAACGTTCAAGAATTGTAACTTGTTTGGATGGAACCATTTTGATGGATGGTATTAACCAATCATCATCAAAAGCTAGCCAATCAAATCCAATGATAACATCCTAAGTCCTAACTTGGAAACACCCTTCACTTCTTCATCCCACCTATAATAACTAATAACCAACCAATCCTCTATTATTCTTTTCATTTACCAATTCTCAACCTACCTCCTTACCCCCAATCTTCATCATCACATCCTAACTTCTCTAGGAATTTAGGGTTAAATTCTTGTAACAATAACACAAACTTGTTCTCACTTATACTTCACAGGACGAAGATCTTCCAAGAAAAAAATGCAAGCATCTGTATTTCATTGTCATAATTTCTTGTCAATTTCGTAACGTTTTTAAGGTGCAGCCATATTATTATAATTCACAGTATTACAGAACAAGAATGGAGAGACGAAGTTCTTAGGGCAAGTATGAAAGAGTGAGTTGGTTGGAGAGAAAACAGGGGAAGTGGACAGAGGATATGTACTTTAACAGAGAGCTTCACTTGCAAGAGACAGAGCAAGAGAGAGCGGATGAGAGGCAAATAATAATAATATATCTTTTTTGAGAAGGAACCAAGAAAAAAAAAGGAAAGACAACTGGCATATGGGCCCAGTGAGTCGTGTCATCCGCTGGGTGGCGCCGAGGAACTCGAGCCGACGCCGGAAGCAGTTGACCCAGAAAGAAGGTCAGCGAGAGTGCTCATGGCCCGGACTTGCATTTCGAGCGCCGATATGTAATCAATGGCTTCCTCCAATATCACCGGCACTGGCTGTTTCCGGCAACCGGGGACCAACCGGCCCAGAAACCTCACTTTCCTCTGAACAGCCGGCAAGCTTTTCCCCTTCAGCCGGAGAACGCTAACTCTCGGCTTCTTCGACCGGGTCACGCCGGCAGCCGCCGCCGTGACTCTCTGTCTCTTGTGCTTCCTGAACTTCAGCTTGAGCCTATTGGTGAGTATGGCTCGGCTCCACCGGGTCCTCCCCTTGGCAGTGAAGGCGAGGACTCTATCGGCAGCCTCCCGGACGGCTTTACCGCGGCGAGGCGCGTCACCGGTGGAGGAACCAGGGGAACCGAGGTTGACTCTGGCAAGGCCTGGTGGAGCTTGGAAGAGTAGATTTGCTGCTGAGCCGGGGACTTCCATTTGATATGGTTCTGTTCCTGAAGCTGTTGCTTGAGTTGAGCTTTCTTCTTCTTCTTCTCCCTTTTGGAAGGGTCACGGGACCGGTCTGTGGCGGTGATGGGGTTCGAGATCAGAGACGAGGCCATCTGAAGCAGGAAATCTCGTATGCTGGCCTGAAAGAAAAAGGCAGAAGGTACGGTTTTGTGAGATTCAAATGGAAGGGTAGAGAGAATCGAGTGATTCGGATAGGGGTTAGGGAAAAATGGAAGAATCAGGAGGCTGGAAGGAAGAGAAGGAGGGATGAATAAATAGGAAGGTGAAGAAAGGGGTTCAGATATAATCCAACAGAGAAAGAATGAAGGATGTGGTGGTGCTGGTGGTGGGGCTGCTGCCTCGGAACGGGACGGAGTGGGTGAGGTGTCGCTTCACTTATTAGGAGTCCCGACGCTGAGACGAACGGAGGCTGACGCTTATAAAGAAAATCCCAATACTGCACGCCTCCTTCCCCATTCTTCTTTTTCTTCCCCTAAATCAATTCCTCCTTATTTCCCTTCTTTCTTTTGTTACTTATTTTATTCAAATAGAAAAGAATAATTATTTTATCCGTGTAATTAGATTATTACTCAATTCATAAATTTAATTTAATTTTTATAATTTTAATTTAATTATAATAGTTTTAAACTATAATTTCATTAATTTGAATCTCTAAATTTTAATTAACAATTTTGATTTTTGTAATTTTATATTTTTAAATTTTAAGGACTAATACTTTAAAAAATTAAAATTGTAATGATTGAGTTTGTTTGAGTAGAATTTAATAATTAAATTAAAATTATAATGCCTTGTTTGCTAGCTAGCATGAAATTGGAATTAGAGAAGTGAAGAAAGGAGTATAGTTGGATAAATGAGTCATTTGGTATGATGGATCTCACTTTTAAAATTATGGAACTTAGTTTTCACCGTCTTATTATGAAACTCACTTTTTCTCTCGCTTCTTTTATAAAAAAAAT